AGTGTATTTTACTTTATATTTGACTGATAATTAAGAAATGAAAACTTTGACCAGATAAGGGCTTCAACTTGCAAGATCTTGAATGAGCTTAGGCTCGAAAATCTAAGTTTGTAATTAAGACAGTTGTTTCACAAATATTGTTGATCTACTCTTGGATACTGCGGTGCAGAAGAACTGCCTCTTATGGGCTCATGTGCTTCTCATTTCCCTTTTCTGGCACAGCAAATTCAGTCGAACTGTCTTCGGCGATCATCAAGTTATGCCTCCTCGGTCCATGTGATGCAGGTCCGGGTAACTCTGATGGTGCACTATTGTCACTTTCCAATAACAAGAAGCACATGGCTGAAGCGAAATAAGTATCATAGAAAGTATGTGCACAAAGAGCATCTGTTCTGCAGCATTCCACCTATACTCTGTTAAACATCATGTGATTGGCTTTTGCAAAAATACCACTTTCTAATGTTCAAAAGAACAAATTTACGAAGAATAGAAGCCATCGTCGAACAGATACATTTGCATCGATGCCATATACATCCTTTAGTTTGGTATATGGTAATATTCAAATTATGCAGAAGCAACAAAATTTGCAGAAAGTTACTAATTCAGCAACTAGGTTTAGAAAGCAAATTCTTGCAATAGCCTGTTACACTCCATGCCACATGGGTTGGCAAAAACATGTTATACATGAAAAATTTTCAAGAAACACGGTATCATTTGATTGATGTTCTAAAGAAAGTTGCCATACTGTACACCATTAAATACGAGTAAAATGTGGCACTATTTATAAATTTATATACTATGTTCTATATCATTTGAGTTGAAATGAAACTAGCTTGAGTGTAAATCTATTGTATTTTTACAACATCGGATGCAATTCTGAACTTCTGAAGCACCATTGGAGAGCTAAATGATCCTGTTATGTTAGGTTGTGCTGATCAAAAATTTCTATTCAAAAAAGCCTGAACTTGTCCCTTCCTCCTTACTGCTAGAATGAGTACTTCCATAAGTAAATGTCCGATAGCCAGCAGAACTGAATAAAAATTTAAATCAAATTTATTGAGTAAAATAAAATTTATTAATTTTCTTAATTTAAAATGATTTAATTGGATTCGATGGGTCCCAATTCGTATATTATTTATGACCATAGGCATTTGGCTATCTTTTGTGAAAAATAATGATAAAATTGTTACGGATGCAGCAAGGGACTTGATTTCTTAGCAAATCAGCAGTTTAAACGTAAGACCCAACAACCAAAGGCAACAGCAACAAGTTTTCTGCTTTTGCATCTCAATCAAACCCACTTCCCAAAATTTCTACTATTAATTTATAATTTACTCTCATTGCCCTTATCATAACTCTTACAAAACAAGCAAAATCATATACGTTTATTACCAGGAAAAAAAAACACAAATATGTGGTATAAAAAGCAGTTGTAGCTGTATTGGTATGATTACTTATAATGATTGTCTCTTGATTTGAAGGTAAAGTGTCTCTTCCGCTAATCATTTCTTTCATCTAATTAAGTTCTTAATACGTTATTTTTTATTAAGTAAAAAATATTATATTTTTAAGATAAATATTAAAGTTTAAAATCACATAAAATATAATAACGAGTATTTCTATGACTCGTCAATTATATTATAGTATACTGCAAAAGAAACCATCTTTACATGTTTATATAGTTCGCAAGTAGGAAAACAGAGTACTCTGTTTTTTTGTCTTCCTGGTTTCTTTGCAGTGATACTTCAAAAAAAATGGAACTTTGTTATAGTTTTCCTCTTTAGATATGCATAAGAAAGTTGATTCATGTTCTCCAACATGTGTTCTTGAGGAATTATTCAGGACCGAAGAATTCGAAACCAGTTGTTCATCCAAACCACCCACCACAGGCTCAGCAAATGACCAGAGGTCGAAGCAAACTTCTCGATGGCACGGATTCGCACAATTACTCGGTTTTAGATCAAAGAAACCATTACCCAATTTTCACACTCTTGGATCTTTCAGACTCTCATTAAGGAGAAGCAGTAGTGTAAGAGAAAACGTCACTGTTTCACCAGATTTCCTACCCAACAACACCAGTTCATATAACCTCAAGTCTCCAGGGAAAGTTTTCACTCTTTCCGAGCTTGAAATTGCCACCAAAAACTTCGGCGCTGGTCAGTAATTTGTACAACGTTTCATTTTCCGATTTGATTTAATTATGTTTCTGAATTTGATTTGCCTTTCTTTTTGCAGAAAATCTTATAGGCAAAGGGGGTTATGCTGAAGTTTACAAGGGGAGTTTACAAAATGGGAAGCTTGTTGCCATTAAACGTCTAACGAAAGGCACACCCGATGATATAATAGGGGATTTCTTATCGGAGCTTGGAATAATGGCTCACGTGAACCATCCCAACACTGCTAAGTTAATCGGCTATGGAATCGAAGGCAGAATGCATCTCGTCCTCGAGTTGTCTCCGAATGGAAGCTTGGCTTCTCTTCTTTATGGTTAGTTTGTTCATGATTTCAATCAGCCAGGCTCACCAATCTAAGCAAACATATGTGTTTAAATTCTTACAGGTTCAAAGACCAAACTGAAATGGGACATCAGGTTTAAGATTGCTCAAGGCACAGCCGAAGGTTTAAGGTATCTTCACGAGGGGTGTAAGAGAAGAATCATCCACAGAGATATCAAAGCTGCAAATATTTTGCTCACAAACAACTTTGAACCTCAGATTTGTGATTTTGGACTTGCGAAATGGCTACCGGAAAACTGGACTCACCACACTGTTTCCAAATTCGAAGGCACATTCGGGTACGTATGCCTTTAAACTAACTACCCTTTATTTGCCATCATCTAATTCATTAGAGATTACATGTTTCATGCATTTGTTTTGGCAGCTATCTGGCCCCGGAGTACTTGATGCATGGCATAGTCGATGAGAAAACCGATGTTTTCTCCTTCGGTGTACTGTTGCTCGAACTAGTCACCGGACGCCGAGCTCTGGATTACTCTCAGCAAAGCCTGGTATTGTGGGTACGTCTTTTTATCAACATTTTAAAGCTAGATATCAAAGTAGGCAGATTATAAATTCATTATGCATTTTTTTTATTCTTTATAGGCAAAACCCTTGTTAAGAAATAATGAAATACGAGAGCTAATCGATCCTGCCATTGGAGAAGAATACGATTCACGACAAATGAACCTTGTTCTCTTGGCTGCTTCTTTATGCATTCATCACTCCTCGGTTCGACGCCCTCGAATGAATCAGGTTATGTTAAGGAAGTTCGTAACCGAATCGACCCAAACCGTATTTTCGATTCGATTCTAACCGATAGTGCTTTGAATATGAATGTTTTGCAGGTTGTACAGCTTCTTAATGGCAACCTCAATAGCTTAAAGAGCATGAGAAAATGTCGGATCCCATTCTTCAGAAAAGCTCTCCATGAAGAGACATTGAGTGCAGAAGGCTCGGCCAAGAGTTGAGGTTATCTGGATTTGGGAAGATCAAGGTGTGGTCCAAGCAAATGTATGCCATGGAAAAAGTTATGACATCAGAAAACATAGCGACATCAAAAGGACAAATGCTGCAAAAGAGACATGGAGAACCACAGAGAAAAGAAGAGGGGGGGGAACATCGAATGTCGGTGTCTTGGAAGACGTGTACATGAAAAAGGGAATATTGGGGAACAAAAGTATAGTATATCCCATGGTTAAGTCAATTTTGTTGGAGGGAGAAATGTCAGAAGTAAGAACCATTGTCTCTCTCTCTCTTTTCTTCTTCTTTCTTTTCATGTAAGTTTATGACAAAAGTCGTTTAGCATACCTCTAAACATCAAATGAATCCTTAGATTGGGCATGTAGATCATGTTTTAGTGAAGGCAATCTTTAAAATTAGTTGGTAAAAACATTTTCTTTTCTAAAAAAGGTATTCCTTTTAGAACATATTTTCTACATGAAACCATATAAACATCTTTGCAAAGGTACAAAAATAATAAATTTCGATCATAATAAGTAAAATTAAGCAACACAAAGTACTAAGATAATACATACAAGCCACAAGTGAAATGAAGCAATACAAAATACAAATCAGATAGCATAAGTTAAAGTAAAACTAGACCCAACTCGATGTGTATAAAGGGCAGGACCGACCCAATACATGTGCCAGATGGGCGACGGCCCAAGCCAGCATGTAGGGGCATGGGCATCAATTTTATGCTGGTGGCGCATTATATTTTGATTACAGGTGTTAGTGCCTCAAATAGACCCCTTGACAGACCAGTAAATTTTGGAAGTTTGTAACTTGAAACAATCATGTCAGCAAGCTGAAGATGCCCTTTCGCAAGGCATGGAGAAACTCCAGGAAACTGTGTCTGCAACTTTAGCATATGGTCAAATGGGACTCATTGGACCGGCCCTGATAAAGGGACTCGCATTTGCTCCAAATTCAATAAGTTTTGACTTGATCTAATTTTAAAGAGTCGAGTTTTTTATTTGAAATTTTCAGTTTAGATCCTTTATATATTTAGGAATAATTGTTATAATATTTGTTCAATTTTTTAATCATCGACAATGCACATACGTCCTGCAGACGCAATTGCTCGAACCCATAACCTCAAGGGAGAACAACATTTCTTTAACTACTAATATCACTTGATGAGTTCAACAAAAACTTTATTGTATATATATGAAAAAAACTTATAAAGTATGCTCATCGTCAACTTTAGATATTTATTGTGTCACGAGACACGAAACATTTTTCGATAATCCTGATGAACAAAAAATTCAGATAGAGTGAAAGTAAAAAAAAACGTAAGATAACTAAAACATATATAAAAATATTTTAAATATATAATGCTAACAATGACCGAGTATTCTTTAAAAGCTTTTTATACTAAAGTCTTGTAACAAGATGTAGTTGGTTCGCTAAAACTTTTGCATAGCAGTAAGGAACCAATTATATATATCAAACTGCATAATTAGTTTCATTTGGCATAAGAACATTATTTTGATACCTCTGATTGGAATAAGTAAAAAGAAAAGCAAGCTCCGGGATATATATATATGATGAGGACAATGGAAATTAACTTGACAGAAAGCCTTTGTCTTGGAAACTCTTGATACAATCATCAAACATTTCAGGAATGGATTTGAACGGCGGGAACCCCAACTGTTGTATCTTGCTCGTGTCCATGCTATGTGCACAGTTGTCACCTTCTTGACTGCTACACCTGCAGATATGGAATTGTTTTTCATTAATGGTACATGTATATATTCTTGAGAAACACGAAAACATTAGATTCATATTTTTTCACTAACACGTTTTCGAAAGGATAGGAAGGATATTTGGCCATCAGCATGTCAAGGATCTGCCTCCAATGAGCAACCGAGCTAGAGCATATCAGCCTGCCTGAGGCTTTGCTTTCCTCCATAGCTAAGATGTGAGCAGCAACCACATCGTCTATGTGCACAAACCCTACTGTGGTGTTCGGGTATTCACCTCTCAAACCTGATAAAAAAAAACATGTCTATGAGACATTTTAGATTATGTCGGTAGTCCTTATACATTTAGAAACATGACCTTTAACTGTAGCCAGTATCAAGAGCAGAGTACTGGTGGGGTGTGGAGCAAGCAAGGGGCCAACCACGAACGATGGGTTCACCACCACCATGTCGATCCCGGTATCTTTTGCTGCTCTCCACGCTTCTTTTTCCGCCACAGTCTTTGCGTATGCGTAGAACAGCTGCGGGGGAAGCAACCAAGGGTTTCATTTAATCATAATTACATAAATGTAACACAAAGTTAAAGATGATTACGATTAAATCCCAAATACATTGTAACGCTTGCAATACTCCGGCTCGCTCCAGTGCGACTCATCGAGGGATGTAATCTGCTGTTTCTGCACGTCAAAACGGTACCGTATCGAAGAGCAGGATGAGGTGAGCACCACACGTTTCACGCTGCCGGCTTTCGAACACGATATCAAAACATTCAACGTCCCCTTCACGCACGGATCAATCAGATTTGCCTGAATGTTTTCATCGTACGGGACAAGAACGGGAGATGCGGCGTGGAAAACACCTACGACGCCGCGAATCGCGTCGTCGAAGCTTCCTTCCTCCGTCAGATCAGCTCTCATGATCTTCAGCCTCTCCTTGGCTCCCGCCAATTTCCTCAGGAAACCAACCTTTTCCTCATCCCCTGGGTCTCGCACCGTGGTGCGCACGAAGCAACCTTTCTCCAGCAAGGACTTCACCAAATAAGCACCGATGAATCCTGTCCCGCCTGTTACACAATACTCCGCCATCTTCTTGTTCTTTCCTGTTCGCTCCCTTGAGTTTCAACTTGTTATTTCTACGATGACTAAAGTATATATGGTGGTAGCTGAATTGTCATGCGCTGTGCATTTCAACTTCTTTATTTTCATCGTCATGTTATTCTTGGAAAAGGGGGGGGGATACAAGTAGATGCTTCATTCAATCTGCAAGACAGATAGAGACGGAGGTTCATTAAATTAATTTTCCCTTCAAGATTTGATGTGACAATATCAATTTCTTTATATAGTTTGGGCTCTCTTGAATTAAGTATCTTGTTTTTATCATATTCTTATATTTTTGTAATAACACGATGCTTTCTTTAAATATAAAAATATTATTTATTCAGAAACTAATATCAGGTTCTTAGTCTTACTAACAGACTGCCAATTCTGTTATTAACACTTTTGTTTGAATATTTTAATCAATTGATGACATATTAAATTATTACTAATTTGAATTATTTTTGAAATATAAGTATACATTAATTAAAAAATACTAAATTAATTCAAAATTTTAATTTAGTATTTTAATATTAATTTAGATATTAAATAAAAAAGAAAAAATATGTATAAAACATTGGAACAAATTGGGTTTGGGTTCATCTAACCACGTCTTCATCATATCAAAAGCATGTAACCGATCCGTTATCCAATAACATTGGAATTGGATCTAATGTCCAAAAAATGAACATGGGCTGCTGTTTTCTTCTCTTGCTATAATGTTTTAAGGGTAAACTACATGTATAACCATTAAACTGTTTTTTTTAGATCACATCATATTTCACTGACGATTAACAGTTAACATAAAAACAAAGTAAATTTATATAATTATATATTCAAGTTTAATTAATTACATATCCTATTATTTTCATCTTTAGATTTGTCTCTAAGCTTTTCTTCCTTGCACGCTCTCCTTCTTTTCTTCTTTAATTGGCACGCTACCACATTAATTATTGTGCTGGTCCCAATCCGCTGATTTTACTTATTTTTCTTTTACTTTTTATATTATATCTTTCTTGTTATTTTTAATTTCTAATAATTTTGATTTTTTGGTAAATTTTTTTCAACCTTTTAGAATGTTTTTAGGTTTTTATTAGTTATTTGGCTGATTTTTTTTTATTTTTTTAGAGTTTGAATCAACAGCGTCTCGACTGATCAAAATATTATTTATTTATTATTATTTTTATTTCCTTACTTTAGATTTTCAGATTGAATTTAGATATACTATTTACATTTTTAACTAGTTTTCTCACTATATTCGACTTTGATTTACAGTTGTTAGTAGTCTTCTGATTTCTATTATAGTTTATTTTTTAATACAATTAAATTTATCTGTATCTATCTATTATTCAAATTTTTTTATATAATTTTTTTGTCTGATCCTTATAATATATATTTAACTCTTCATAATGATAATCATATGTGTAACTATACAAGATTCAACATTTTCATTAGGTTACCCAAAGTTTAAAGCAGAGCCACTCATTAGCCTTTCCGTTTTTTAAAAAGATCATTAAATAAAAAAATTGGATTTTGTAATAATTAATTAATTCAAAAGTCGGCTATCTTCTGGTTTTATTAGTGTTTACATCGCATTTTTGTTTGGTCTCTATTCTGTAAGATCCGTGTTCTAGTCTCTGTTTTTGAGTGTTTATCATTGAACTGCTTAAAAAAAATACAAAAACAGGGGAGAGGCTTGGCCACCATGGATGTTGTCAATCAGATGCAGAGACAGTTTGTTGACTACTCTACATCATTACACCGTGAGGTCGATTTACTGTCTGTTTTGCCTTTTTTGCTTAGATTTCATCAATTGATTTTGTCTTTTCAGTAAAATCTCATGATGGGTCTTGGTTTTTTAAGCCTTTGATTGTTTCCCGGGAAAAAAAGGTGGAATTTTTGTTATAACAAAAGCCAAATGTAGTGGGGACTTATCATGTTGGTTTTCCCTGGGATAATAAATCTGTTCCCTTGAAAAAGGGGAAACTTTTGTTTTTTATAATTACTTTTAACTGTTCTTTTATTCTTTTTTTTTTTTTTGTATTTTCTAGAGGGATTTGGGGAGGTTTTGTGATCATGGGTTGCTGTTGTATTTGAGCAGGGAATTTTGGATGATCAATTTACTCAGCTCCAAAAACTGCAAGATGAAAACAGCCCTGATTTTGTGGTTGAGGTTGCTTCTCTCTTCTTTGAAGATTGTGAGAAGCTTATTAACAATATGGCCAGAGCTTTGTGAGTTTTTTATTTTTTATTTTTTGGTTCTGTTTCCAAAAGTATGAAAACAGTTAGTAACTGGGATCTTCTCCTCCTCTTCAGAGAGCAACAAGGGGTTGATTTCAAGCAAGTAGATGCTAGTGTCCATCAGCTAAAGGGTAGTAGTTCCAGGTATTCATATATGCATGTGTTATATATGTATTCCCTTGATTTGTCTAATTGACTTGTTAGAATAGCATTGGGATATTTCAATCTGAGTATTCCGATGATCGTTGTAGAAAATCAAATAGTTGTTTCATTGTTTGATGTAGAGATTGAAATGTATTTATTTAGCTATATATACTCGTTAGTTCGGGAGTTTCTTATCAATGTTTCTGATTCAATGGTAATAGCATAGGTGCAGTGCAAGTTAAAAACGTATGCATCGCCTTCAGAAGTTTTTGCGAGGCCCAAAACCGAGAAGGGTGAGTTTTGCTTTCGTTTATATCTTCCTATTATTATTTATATAATCGCTTGAACCGCTGAATTAACGTACCACCCTCCGAACTTGAACTTTTTTAGCAAAATGCCCTAATTTTTGTCAGCTACCATAGAATGTATGATGCTTTTCTATACTGAGGATTTGATTGGATGAACAAATATGCAATGTTTGTGCAACAGTGTACATTCAATCATATCACCTGGGTAATTTAGTTGTGGGCGTAGATGAAAATAAGATTCTTAGGGAGGGATACCTTTTTTCTGTGAAACATCAAGCTCCCATGCTTGGAAAAGAGAAAGCGAACTAATTTAAGCACCGTCCTTGAGTGCAAATAGCATTTCCGTTTTGCTTAGCCAAGTATTCAAGTTTCTATCAATCACAATGGTACTTTTGCAAGTTGTCACACTTGATCCCTTTTGTAAAATTGAACAAAGATGATAATTTTCGCCCACCTTGCTGATGTGATTTGTATGTTTTCGCTTCTTGCTCCCTTAAATCGTACGATGAACGGAGGGAGGAGCCTTGCTAGACTTTTTACTTAATAATGTTGGGACAGGTGCTTGAGATGCCTGCAGCAGGTGACTCACGAATACTCCCTACTGAAGAACAAGCTTCAAACCTTATTCAGGGTAAGTATAAGAAAATGCCGGTAATAGTACCAGGTATCTTCCTGCATGGCTTCGTTTATGCAAGAAGAGATTCCCAGGTTTCATGAAAGTGCATATTCCTTCAAGTCGAGTTTATGGTTTCCATCTCCAACAGTACGTTTAACCGGATTCTTTCCTGGTTTTTTTTCCAGCTGGAGCAACAAATCCTTGCAGCAGGCGGTTCAATTCCAGTGATCGAATAAATCATCACTCATATCGTTCCTCGTAGTAGAACAAAGGAAAAGTAAACAGTCGCTATTGCAGACAACATTTTCAGATAAGGTTTTCTAGTTATTGATTGTAACATTGCTATATATATATAACTGAAGGATTTAGATTTGTCTGTAAAGCCTGTATGAGGTTAGAGTAATGCTGTGAATCAACTGCAAAAGCATAAATGTGGTAGTTTTCTTTGTTGGCTAATGTCGAGATTTCGAACACGGTAGGTTGTGCTTTGTTTTTGTATTATTGCCTATTTTAGTCAATTCCTCTAGAAAATCTTCATATTGGTTTGTTGGGACATATTGATAGAATAATTGTTGGTGATCAAGTTAAAATTACAATTAACACCTCGTGTGGTTGATATCTTTCTATACTACTTGTAGTGACACGTACTAGTGTGTGTGGGGTATTGGCTCACCAAAGATTGTGCTTACTTTTGAAACTCTCAAAGTTTTGAGATTTTTGTGTGAATGTTCTTCTTTTTTTCAAAACAGTTTATCATCGCCGTCGATTTTATTGTCCTTCGCAAATCGCGACATGAGTGTAACTCCCACTCGTTCGTCATTCGGCTCTCGTCATAAAATTCTCTTTCATCACAAGAAATCTTTGTCGTTTCGGTGAGTTTTACTTTCCTTAACCTTTTCGTCTTCAATCCAAACCAAAGTTCAACATCAACCTTCATTGGACCAACTCAACTTTACCAGCACTCCAAACGCTCCATGAACAAATCTAAGCCACACCCTTGCACCCCCTCTCTCCTATCTCCGAGCGATTTAAACTTCGATAGTCTCTCATCATACACCGCGTCTAGTCTGAGTGTGCACACACTCCATCTGACCAAATCCAAGCCCCCTTATTGTATAGTCACCAATTAGAACCTTATAACCCCTTTGGAACTCCAAACTAAAACCCTAAATCCGTACACCTAAAAAGCATTAAAATCTCAAACTGTTACTGAGGACTAAAATTGAAACCATAAAAGGTAGGGGTAAAAAATAGAATATGTGAGCTTTTGAAGATTAAAATTATTTTTATATTATGTCGCATTATTATTTCTGTTAAGTTAATAGTTAAATCCAACAGTGGGCGACCAATACAAAAATAAAAATAAAACGTAATGTTATGTATGATTTTTAGAAAAATATATAGTTGGGTGACCAAAACTAATATGCATATATAGTTGGGTGATTAAGTAGGTAGTTTACTATTTTTTCATTTTTTTAATATTTTTTTCTAAGTGGCTGCCAACCTTTCACTTTCATACAATTTTCTTTACCACGTGTTCTTTTATCTTATATGTTTTTCTCTCAATTTAGTGCTTATCTTACGAATAAATGGCACTCCTTTTCAATTCCACATTTCGGGCTTATCTATTTTCCTTGTATTTATCTCATTTGTCTTCTAACGATTCTTTTTTTTATTATTAATATAAAATGAGTATAAAATAATATACATTTAAAAACTCTTAATCGATTGATATTGAAAATATATAATCTTAGTACATATGATGTACAAATTTAAGACCTCAAATAATAAAAATAATAATTCCTTCCATCTAGTTACCACCCACAATTGTTTGGAAGGTGTGGTCGAGATGGTGTGCCATATGGAACCTTCAGCTAGTTTACCCGGGCGATGTTCGGTCTTTCATCTCTTTCTGGGAGGGAGTCCCAACTTACAAATCCAGTAAACCTATTTGGTATCTTTTGGTCTATTTGGCTCCAAAAGAATGAAATTATCTTTAGCAACTGTAGTTTGTCCGAGGAGAAGTTGTTTGAATTAGTTGTTTTGAGAATAGGTTGCTGGTGTAGGTGGAAATGGCCTGAACCTTTCTTGTCAACCTTTGACTTCTGTAGGAACACCGTTTCTTTTAGGAGGTAATGACTCCAGCGTTTATGATGCAATAGAGCTGCTTTTGTGTGGATTGTGCATGTTGTGTTCCCTGTTGCAATGTTCTTGTTTCTTCTGCGGGACTTATTTCTTGTTGAGTCCTGGATGCGGGTGTTTCTTCCAGGGTGGGGTAAGCGCTTCGGATATGGGTGCCGAATGTTTATAGTGTATGGCGCGGGTATGAAGGTTGAGATATCGGTGTCATTTGTCTGTTAAAAGCTGCTATTGGAGCCTATGTGGGAGGAAAATCCCGTTCTGCTCCTCCGGCCCAGCGTTTTTTCCTCGTGTGCGGTTGTTAATGGGAAGGTGCTGCGTTTTGCTGGTTGCAATTGTGAGTTTTAGAAGGGTGTGCAGCAGTTTACTGTGAGGCTGGGTTTTTAGGGAATTTGCTATGATGGTATTGATTTGTGTTGGAACTCTTGTGTGCATTGGACAATCCATGTGGGTATTGCCAGTCAAGCCGCTGAATCTGTTGTGTTGGGTGCTGCAGCTTTACTATTGTGTCTTTGGGTAATAATCGTGTGTGGGGCGTAGGAGTTTCTGCTAGTGTTGTAAATCGAATGTTCAATCTTTTACTCGGGTGGGGTACTCTGTTTCCTACATTAGGGAAATTTTTTAACGATACTTTCTTATGTTCGAACTTTGTATGGTTTTTGTTTGAATTCATACAGTACCTTTTTTTTAAAAAAAAGTTACCACCCACAATTGTTTGGGTTAGAATTCATTACAAGTTTATGTCTTATACAATTATCTTAATTATTGTATTATAAAAGAGATATTTTAATGCATGAATTAATTTATCTCAGTGGATAAAGGAATCAGTGATGTTTTTAGAGATTATGGGTTCGAGCATTAGCGACTACAAGGGTGATTGAATGTTCATTATCAAATGGTTGAAAATATTTAGAACAAATAGTACTTTATAATCACTTTTTTTTGGTGAATTGAAGAGAAGCATATTACATTATGATCTTTATATATAGGGACCTTAGCTTAATAAAAAAATATTTTAATTTCTATATATTTAAAAAAATAAATAATTTAATTAAAATATTAAACTTGTACCAACAACCAATTGGTCTAATAAGAGGAGACACTAGATCTCTTAAACAAGGCGTTTGAAGGTCGTTCATGCCTTTGCAGTACTTGATTCAGATTAGTCGATTAATAATTCATAAACTGAAGGTTATAAAAAAAATATTAAATCTATAATAACTTAGGTTAAATATTTTATGATGAATTTTCTATTATTTTTCAATTAAATTCCAGTTATCTTTATTAATAGTTTATTAGTATTTGTTCATAAATTTTTGTTTAAAATCTTTAAACACTTATTAAATTTAAATACACAAATAGTCACATATTCTTAATATTATTTTCAACTTGTTCGTCTTTTGTGTATCATTGACCATTGCTTGAAACCTTTGTTGCAATCTTGTAAATATATTTTTCCTATAATTTTTGTATTTTTAATATGTTAGATTGTATGACTAGTGTATTCTTCAATTTAGATAAATCTAATTTAAACAAATCTTAATCTCTCTTAATTTTTTAGTCTTCCTTATTATAATAAAATAAACTACAATCCATAAGGTAATATAGAATGTATGATTTATGTATTATATTTGTGTGATTGTAAAAATTATTTCAATGTTGAATTTTTTACTTGTAATTATAATATTATAATAAGTGAAGATGCCAAAATTTTAAGTTATAATAGAATTAATTTTGCATTTAAATACCATAAGTTTTTTAAAAGAGATTAGTTAGATCGAATTCAAAATTAAGAGGAAACTAAAGAGTGTATAAACGAACATGACCCAAAATTTTATGTTCATTTAATAAATTAACATAGGTGTATTTGATTCGTTTATGTTCACAGACAAACTCGTTAATCGAATCGTTTACAAGTTCATTAGTCCAGTTCTTTTCTTTTTATTCTTTTATATTTTAAATATTAGTGAAGGTATAGCCTAAATTGAACACATGGTGAATTTGAAATTCAAATCGGTGGAAACCCCGAACAATCGGGAGGAATTGTGTTCTCGGGTGTCTATGGGTGGTTTTTGCATCAGGTTGTTGTCTCCAAACCCTTGAGAGGGCTCTGAGAGAGCCTTGTGTTGCTTAGCCGGTTAAATTGGGCGGAGAGGCTAGGTGGTTCACCCTTGGTAGATTTGGGGTAGAGTGTCATGGACCCAATGGTACATTTCTTAGGGAGAATGGGAACCATACTACCATTGGGCCCGTGACTCCCCACCCAAATTTACCAGGGGTGAACTATCATGGCTCTCTATCTAATTCAACCGGGTGAACCACATGAGACACTCCCAGAATCCTCCAAGGGCCAGGAGGATAAAATCCCAATGCTAAAACAGCACATAGACACCCCCAAGAACACAATTCCTTCCGATTGTTGGGAGTTCCGACTGACAGCACAGAGATCTATCAACACACTGTAATCCTTGCGAAAGCACAGATTGACAGATGAAAAGATCTATTGTGAGCTAAAGGGGTGTCAATCATAAAAATGCATTTCATCTCAATTTAAACTTATTCTATCCTGGCTTGAAATGTGTACATGACTTTGGAAGATTTCCGCATGCAGAATCTAAAGTGGAATTTCTTACTACTATTGTTATGAAGCCAGAACGCACTTTTCAAGGCAAAGTAAGATGGTTCAAATATCGAATGGGCAACGGTTAATAAGAAGACATCAATGATCAACCACTAACATCTGATAAGGCAAGAAAAATAGCTAACCTTGGTAGAAATGACAACACGATCACGGGAGATATTCCTCTGTCTAACCCACCGACCAAAGTATTCCTCACTTTTCCTTGAGTCCCAGCACTGAGGAACTGGGTACCTGCATTTACAAAACAGAACACGAACATAATTACACCAACATTTAGAAGCCAAAAACCCAGAATGAATTTGAGATGAAGCGTGGAAGAAAGTTTACATTTCGGCAGAGTCGAAGAAGTTGATTCCGGCTTCAAAAGCTTGATCGAGAAGACGAAATGACTGAGGAAGAGAGTTCTGCTCCCCAAAAGTCATTGTTCCTGATGATAAAACCAAGAGAGAATTAGAGGGTTCCAATTTGTAGGATAAGTGGTGGCGGCAGAAGAGAATAGTTATGGAACCTAAACAGAGCCTTGAAACTGTCAAATTAGGAGCAATGTTGAAGAGAGGAACGGACATTACTCCTGATGTAAACAAAATCCCTATAAAAATGGCGGGAAATTTCTCCGTTTCACGAAATATACGATAGGATAATGAGGCTTCCTGCTCTGCAGCCAACTTCCGTGATGTGATTTTTCCCCCTCCTTTAATACCAGGGTCTTTTTGAGAAGAGCTAATTGCACATATGTCCCTAAACTATGATCCTTATTTTAATTTGGTTAAACTTCTTAAAATTCTAATTTCATACTCAAACTATGCTTTCATTTCAAATTAGTTTCCGAACTTCTAAACATATCAAATTCATCCCCAAACTATAACCCTCATTCTATATTGATCCCCAAACTTTTAAATATTATAATTTCAACTTTGAAGATTTGAATGATTTAGGGGGATATTATGAAAAGTTCAGAATTTTGGGACTAATTTAGAATAAAGATCATAGTTTGGGCATGAATTTGAAATGTTCAAAATTTTAGAGACCAATTTAGAATGGTAGTCATAATTTAGGAATGAAATTAAAATATTCAAAAGTTTATAGACAAATTTAGAACAAGAGTCATAGTTTGGGGATGTACGTTGCATTTACTCTACTGAGAATTTAAACTCGAGATACATCTCTATGTGCATAAAATCGAATTAGATACTTCAATTAAACGGATTTTTTATTAAATAAATATTTCTCACATTAAATTATTTTATTTTTAAATTAAATCAATTAAACATACATCTAGAATTTATCACATAAACATTTTATCTGATTTAAATTTCTAAAATAATCATCCAAACTAATTAAATCAATTTAATTAATACATTGATTTTATTAAACTAAATTAATTTGGTAAATTTAACGGATTATCTACTCACCCCACCTACGATTCCTTTATCTCTGGCATGCAATCCCTATCTATGTTGTGCTTAAAAAATAGCTTTATATCAAAGAAAAGCTGATTTGAAGGAAGAAACAACTATTATACGTTGAGCACCAAGTTGATATTTTCCCCTCAAAATCTTGTTTGTCTAGGAACTTTTTTTACATCAATAGAAAACTTGATGATGAGAGAGACGCAATTCACTTACGTGTAAATTTATTTATTTTTCTCTCATTTAAACTTTATTGAGCTAACCAACCATGTTCCTGTTTGTCATGTCAAGGCGTGGAGAGCGCAATTGATTCCCCAATCGGAATGAGATACTGCATTGTTTTATATCAGAGCACTGTATACTATTCTCTATTGTCTCAACTTCCTTTAATACTCCAATGGATCGGGCAGGTCTTAGGACATAAAACCCAACTATTATAATCACAATCACATGAGCGGAACTCCGCGTTTTCCACCAGCAATTAGCAACCACAATAACCTAAAAGTAGAAGGCATCCTAACATAACATTTCTAACACAAACTCACATTTGAGGACACTACTGTATCCGAATCTATTTCCACTACACAAATCCGTAAGTTACCATGTCATACATAGCTGGGGGGGAAAAGATAGATTAGATACATCCTAGATGCTTCATGTGTGTGACCTGCATTTTCTAGTTTCCATGCACGACTTGGAGATTGGTCTTTCGGCTGAAGATCCAAATTCTATTGTGTTGTTTAAAACGCAATCTAAATTCTTCTCTTTGCCCAAAAAATCTTTCTCCAAGACAGTCATGGAAATTATAAAATGCATTCCATACCTCGCATATTTGAAGGTTAATTATCAGTAGCCGTTGCACAGAAGATCCAGTCCTTTACTTGTCTCAGTTTTCTTGTCTCGAGACTCTTAATGACCTCAACTTAGCAGAGGACTTGAGCGAATGTATCAGAGGAGCATTATCTTCTTCCTCGTCTTCCTCCACCTGAGCATCTTCTTGATCTGACGTGTTAATTGAATCCTCTTCTTCACTTGAATTACGCTCATCAAAAAGTCTCCTACCCTCAATATTTCGCCGCTTCCTAGGACGACCCCTCTTTCTTGCAGTAGTCTGTTCCTTCTTATCTGCAAAACAGCAGCATGATTAGCTTTTAACTTGAAATCCAAAGAACAGAAGCATTGCTCCACAATGATGATAAAAAAAATATACTTGTTTACACATGTTTAAGTGGTGTTATCACACATTTATTAAGAATTGTTTTTTCTTGTGGCCTTATATTAAAGTTAGATAGCTCCACCTATGGGCAACTTTATACTTCACATGAAAAAGACCAGAGAATAATTGATATGAGACTCGATAGTACCATGAATCCCGTCATTCTTTGCACACTTCTCTTGCAAACTATCATAAAATGTATTATAGGGGCGCCACCCGCTTGGATCCTCTTCTGTATTTACATTCTCTGTCCTCTTCTGGACATCTTTCAGACTATAAAATAATTAAGTGATGCAATGGTCAGTCCCAGTTTAAAAATTGAATAGAACGTTTTACATTACATAAGAGAAATTCTTACATGTCTCTGATGTCAGGTGGAGGAAGTCGAGATGCAAAATGTAGCACAGAAGCTTCCAGAAAAGACAGCTGTTTTGGAGGTTTTTGAAAGGCATACTCGATGCCTGACTTAACAATCTTTAAAATCTCGGGCCTGTGCTTGTTCCGAGAAGCACCAACGAATGTTCCAGCAAGCCGAGAAGCCAGGTTCTTGCACTCCTGGAAAGACTCGCTTTTCAAGGATTCATCATCACTTTCAGAGAGTTCTAAATGTCGATAGTGGGCCTGGTGAAAAAAAAATGAACCATTGAAAGGGATACACAATTAGAGAAAGAAACAAAACAATGTTTCCACCGCATTTTAATTTTAGGATGATCAAAGAAAATGCTCCTACCCCTATGTAATCAATATACCACTCCTACAAATTCTGAAGAATAGATCTTCGATTTAAGTGGACAACACTAAAAACTCCAAAGAATAGCTTAACTAATTCCATTCCACTTTAATCATTTTCAATAAGTATGCCAAACGTATTCTTAAAATAGAGCAAATAAGGAGATTTCAATCACAAATTATTTTCCACTCTTTTCTACTAAATAGTCTCAATCAACCTATCTAAAAAGCCCTTCCAGTCATTACACCCAACAAGTAGCAGGCCCTTGATTTTTGCCTCATGTCTATGAACCCAAGAAATAGCTTTACTTGACTGTTTTGATGCTGAACCCCAGGGCCATTAGGCACATAAGGTACTGCATAACTGGTGATGAAAAATAAACAAAATCCCAGATGAAAAATAGCATGCAAGTATATGTTTTTCAAAAGACATGTTGAAATTAACCCAGGCAGAAAAAAGACAGAAATTGTAGTTTAGCACATGAGCTGTGGCATCATTGATTAAATTTCACCAAAACATTTGAGGTAGAGAATTCTACCCTCTTCAAAGCTTCTAAAAAAACTCCAGAGACATCATTTTTTTCCTTCAAAACTGTGATCAGATTCTTTACAATCTCTGCAATGCCAGCTCCATGCATCACAAAATGAGAAATTACCTCAGGAGCAAGATAATCCTGCAGTAAGACCCGATACTTCTCTAAATTAAGAAAAGATATTATTGCGAGCAAAATTTTAAGCAGACTTTCAGGAATAATTTGAAGCAACAAAAAGTTTGCCCAGAATGGAAGAAACAGGTGTCAAATTCTGCAGCATACTGTTACCTTTGGGACTGTATCACTAGCAATCAACTTTGCAACAACAATCATGACATTGTCTCTATTTGTATCCTCAATATACTCTTTGTTAATATCTTCATCTTCTGTGTCATCTGAATATATGCATGCAAGGTTTAACTAAAATTAGCAAATAAACAGCAGTGTGAAGTTTGAACAAATTCTCATCGAAGTATGCAACCAACATCTAAAGGATGCAGCGAATGACAGGCAGAAAGCAGATAAGAGTTACTTGCTCCAATTGGTTTCACCTGGAAGGTGACTGCCCCATTAGCAGCAAGTTAATTATTTCAAAGATTGAGCTCAGAGAAGGAAATGAAAAGAAATTGCCACCTGAAATTTTGAGCCGCTTCTCACAAAGGGTCCAAAACTTCTGAAGAGTACGAGCATCAGGACAATATCCTAATCTTTCAAGCTTTGTTGACGAAAAAACTGTCTTCCTAAACAGAAACCAGATATCTGCTAGTATAATACAAACCTGGGTCATTACATAAACTTCATTAGATAAAATCATCTTAGGGATATTTTAAATTCATATATTATGGCAAAAGGATTACCCAGCAGGCTAGCTGATTTCCTGAATTACTCCCTTCCCTGACTTCAGGAGGAGTATTAAGAAAATACTCAAGTTCCTCCAACAGGGTATCACGTTTAGACAGGAGAGAGCATAAGCTTCCTTCAGAGACAGTTTCAAGGTTTATAATAGAATGAAAAGACCAGGCTACATCCATTGACATATTCAGCAGCAGAAAACTAACAACCTAAACGAGAATGAGTGTCATTAGGAACAAATGCAAAGGACACAAAAAACAAAAAACAATTTTCAGAATTTGCTCATTTAACTTACTTCATCATCCAAGTTTCTGAAGCTGCGCAAGATTGTAATACAATCTCCATAAATTTCCTCAATTGATGCAGGCCTCGACAATTGAAGCTCAAACAACCTTTTCAAATTCACCAGAAGAGAATACTCATCCTCTCCATCCTGCAAATTTAAAACTTATTAACCTTATATATTTGATGATCAAGGCCCACAATCAAGAACAAAGGGCTCAGATGGAAACATACAATCACTTCTTTAGTTGCAGATTTAAGCTTATCAAGAAGCTCATCCTCAAGCTCCTTTAGTTTGTTACGAGAAAAATCTTGCAGCTCTCCTCGACTCTCAGTGGAACAGAATGTAATAGCCTTAACACAAGATCTCAATGCATCCTTCTCACCGTGCTTGAAAAATGCATCTTTGATGAGAAGAAGAGTATTTCTGAAATTCTGAAAGGGAAAACACATCAGTTGGTGTTTAATTATTTAGACGCTAACAGGCAACTTCATTGCCTACCTGCTCTTGTCTCTTCAGAGAATAAAGCTCAAGGTTCATATATACAATAATCTCGACCAATGATGAAATTTTAACCTTGTCAACCATGAATTTACGAAGAAGTAATGGGTAGTTCTTCATCATGGCAACAGTTAAATCCCGCCTATTGTTTTCAAACATTTCCTGACATTTAAGAAAAAGACAATTTGAGCTTTAGTCTTCTTTGTGAGTGGCAATACAGAGCAGAGAAATCATCAACTAGTAATGCAAAATAAAACATAATATTGTAAATAAATCCTTATATGTGCTGAGGAATAAGAATAAGAAATTAGATACTCTTTGAGCTTTATTGAAATATTGCTTTCGATTGTCAGAAGCAGGCACAATCCTCTCTCCAACAGCCTTTTTAACAGAAGCAAAAAGAAGCCTAGCCAGGTTTGTTGCATCTTCATCAGTAAGTTCTATTAATGGATTCTCATCCAAAAGCATGGAAATGATACACTTCCAATCCTGAAAGGAAAAACCAAATTGCAAAATTGGCATAGGTGGTATATAATTACGGCATATCAATTTCTTTGAAGGTTTATTAATAATGAGGTAATTGTTACTCAGAAGCAAGAAGGCCAGATTTATTCAGGTGGGTGTGGAAGCAAAATATGTAAGTTCACTCCCAGGACATTCCATCTAATTAGTTTTCTCCATAATGACAATCAAGTGACCATTGGCAATTTTGAAAGATCAAAATAGAATACCTCAACCATTCACATGCACCACAAAGACGAAAAATGTCCTTCGAACATATAAATTTGTACAAGTGAAACTTTCTAGAACTTAGACTAATTAGTTTGTTAAATCATAAGTGCTACTTCCATTTTTCTTCCCCGTGAACATTGTATACAACAACTACTCTACCCGACAGGCCTTACTGCCCAATATGTGCCTATTTCCCCCAGTCCCCAGTCCGTCGTCAATCAGATTGAGTAGGTTTGAACCTACGTTGCTATTAATATTCATTTTTCTAAAAGCATCCATGTTTGATATCCATGTTAAGACACATTCCGGATATGAATACGAGGATATGACTCTCCAAGGACCCTCCAAACACATGAAATAACTACAAAGAAATTGAACATACCGGCTTCTAGCACTCACACCTAAGTACAAGTAACATAGTTCCTCCTAATACCTCACTTTACCTATTCCATAATTTTAGGAAAATTACAATATACCTTCATGGCTTTCATGTACTCCCAGACATCATCGATAACATATGCACTTAAAATGGGATCTGTTGAAAACTCCCGTAATATCTGCAACATTCTGCCAAGATGAACCTCACTCTCATTGCCTGGAAAGGACAAACATTTATGAATGAACAGTAACTGATACAATCATTTGTGAACAATGGATAATTAAGTCTAAAGAAGAAGAAGAAAAACCTTTTGAGCCAGATTGGGAACTGTTAAATTTTTGTTCAATTAAGTGATCATATACTAATTCTCCTATAGCACGCCTGATTTCTGGTGGATCATCAATAAGTAGATCATACAAAGAACCCAAGTCGTCATCTGGTATAAGCTGATGCCTGCAAAACACAGAAAGATGCAATTTCAGTGGGCGGACATCTCCAAAACAAAATTAGCAATAAAACACAGGAAATACACACATATATAAGGAGCGACTACCTAAGTAATTGTTTTACAAGCCCTATTGCGCATACAGCCACGGAAACATCAACGTCGTCAGCAAGCTCAATCATCCGGTTAGAAAACCTTTCAGTAAAGAGACTAAGAGTGGGCACGTTATCCTCCACCTCATAGATATTTTGCAAAGCAAGGACAGCAGCTTTTCTTACGCCAGCACTCTTCAAAAAGAATAAGATGAGAGCAAAAAATAAGAGCACATTGGTTCATGGAGCATTTAGTGAGACTAGAAATCAAATATTAACCCAACTCGAGTAGCAAATTTTACTTTGTCATTTAGAGTCCATCCAAGGTACTTCAAGTATAGATCCTGCAAGAACAATGTAGGATATGACAAAATCCAAACACCCAGTGACCGTATGCATGACATTCTGATATTAGGGTCAACATCTCTATATCGATGCACAAACAACCTTCAAAAAAGCATAATGTGGAACGTCAGATACAAACGAAACTAGTTATCCTACAGGAATTTATCAAGAGATACTTAAATTGATTATAAATAAATAAATAACTTACCCAGTGAAGATTTTGCGCATCATCTCATCTATTACAAGTTTCTGCTCATGAGTTGTTGACAACCTGCTATTTAGTGATTCCACGCGAGGTCCATCAGGTCTTTTCTTCCTTTCAGCATTTAACTGTCTTTGAGTAGTATCACGCTGTACAGCAAGCCTTTCTGCTACAGAAATGAAAGATGTGACTAGCTGGAGACCTATCATGGAAGCAACTTGACGGTAAACCCTTGGAGGTGTGCTGCTCCGTGTCAATAACAGGCAAAAATAAAACATAATAAGCCACATCATAAATGCAGTACAAAAAATAACGCTCACATAGGTACTGTACTAACCATGACAAGGCAATTATATAGTCTATGCACTTGTCAAACAAATCCTTATCAAACAATGGCCCATTCTGGCACTCAATAACCAAAGTGTCCCAGAATGAAACAAGATTCTCCTTGAAATTCTTGAATTCCTTTTTTGAACTCTGATAATCTTCAACTTCCCCCTGAAGTTTCATAGTTAAGCCAACGCATTTCGTTGAAGGTTCACATGCTTGAACTTAAAATGGGTTATTAAGTCTTAGAAAAAGATGGCTATGAATTATCAAGTAGCATTAATTAATGCAGAGTTAAAGAAACAAGGGAATAAAGATATGCTTTTAAAACTGAAAATGAGGTATTTTGGAAAATGTTAAACCTGGAGAAAAACACTAATGTCATAAAAGTTTTTGGGTGCAGAGCACTTGATACATGCATTTTTAAACAGATTACCGTTACAGAAAATATATTGCGACCATATCACCCTTGTTATCAGTGAAACTCCACAATAATCCAACCACCCTCCTTCCAACGAGAAAAATGGGAAACATTACATAAAGCAAAGAAAACATGAGTAGGATACTTTTCTAGCAAGGTTGACAAGAGCAACCACAACATCATCAACATCAGTCTCGTCGAGAAACTCTTCCTTGATGTAATACTTTGCCCCGCATGCCTGCGGAATCATACTCATTCCTATTTAGTTTCAGTCATAAAATCCAAACCGCGTAAAAGGCATGAAATCAAGAAAACCGAAGTATAAGGTTCAGTAATTCAGAGAATTAAGAATGCATCAAGGATAGGTAGGAAGTTTACATTAAGGTTATAGATTAATATTGTGTGTAGTGGGTACTCTGTCTGAAGTTCAGTATTTCACTTGTTTTCACTCTCTAATGAGTAGCATTACTCATATTTTCACACAAAAAATACCTCAAAAAGCATCATGAAGAGTTCAACCATGGCATGTTTTTGATTCCTCTCATATCGCTCAACCCAGCGCTTGACAGCTTGAGAAATATGTTTGCCATCACCTTTGATAACCTCTGATAACAATCACATGCAAACAGAAAGATAAATAGGTCAAATTCCAAAATCAACTATATTAGTAACATCCCTAAATGAATTAATGAAATAGGCACAAGGAAAATACTCTTCAGAAGACAACACTAAACAACGATATAGTACTTAACAGGAGGAATTTTATGAAATGAGTAAAATGTGCAAAACATGTACAGCCAGAAAAAAAACTAAGATGATAAAGCTTCATTCACCCGAACAAATCTCCAAAATGGACATAAGAATTAAAACATTCCAAAATAAAATAATCTTTGAAGCCAATTACCGATTAATATCTCTTCAAATCTGTTCGGGAAATAAGAAGTCCCCTCAGAAGCTCGATGTCGCTTAGTTTTGGGACGAATTTCTTGAAAATCATCTGGTGAGCCCTCCCACTCCCCTGGGCCGGGACTCCCATCGCTGTTCCTTTCTTGATTCTCCGCGTTGTCGCCGTTTGCCTCGTCAGGCTCGTCTCCGGCGACTCGAGTATTAACCCTAGCTCGTTTCTATGCGCACACAAATTTCACCAAAATTAGGTTTGTTGATATACTACATAAGTAGAATTTACACGGCGGAGAAAGAGAGAGGGAGGGAGAGTAGGGAATTACAGCGTGGCGAGTTGTGATTTCGGAAGGTAGCGCCGCGTCGTCATCCATGACCTATGATTTTGAATAACTATAAAGAGTTGACCGGGAAAATTGAATGCGGAAAGAGAGAAAATGTTGTGGGCTAATCGGAAATAGTAATAAACTAAGAATTTCCAGATTGTGTGATATAGGTTTTAGAGAGGGAAACTCAGCAAGATTGTATCGTTTTATATGGAGGGAGACAGGTGCTTCTCAATGGATTGCCCAATATTGAATACTCAAAAATCCAACTCATCTACTATTTCACAACCAGGTGAAATTCTAATAAAAATAGCGGGAAATTCTTTAAATAACAATTAAAAGTGCTTAAACCTTTGGAAAAAGGAAAGTTATTGAAATTTTCGATTCAATTATATTCTTTGATAAATCAAACTAATTAATCTTTTATCATTAATTTTTAAGATATTATTATATAATACAGTCTGATTCTATTATGTAATAATTATAATACTTTTAATATTTTTATAATTTTCCTAAAAATTCAAATAAAACAAATAGTTTTTTAAAAATGTCGCATCATAATATTTTGCGATATTAATTAATCTTAAAAATGAATTAATTAATTAATTAAAATAATGAATTGATGGAATTTTAATTTATATAAATTTAATTGGATGGAATAAAGTTTAGAAATTTAACTAATTTTCAACGGTTGAGAGTTTTTGGAACCCAATTTAATTAAAATTATAAAAACTTATATTTAAGTCGATCAACTGATCGAATTTGGTTATTTAAATTATCACGTCATTAATACATTAGTAAGGGAATCACACGTGTATTTTTATAATTAATATAATAATAAATTTAACCTTTAATATGTTTAAATTCAATTCTAATTTTGAAAATTTAAAATCAAATAAATATGTCTATGTTTTTTTTTTCAATTTGATCCCTCTCACTCCTTTGTTGCCTATTCGCTTTATCCATCACACAAAAAACCACCATCACTTTTGCCCTGGTCTCTTTGTTTTTCTTCCTACTTCCTCCCAGAGCATCCTCAAATCGAGCTTTCTGTTTCTTCTCGCCTCCTCAACACATCCTACCCCTCTACTGTCGTTGTAGCCACTGCACTGCTCCAAGCCTATAATGTAAATTTAGGCAACTTAACTTCAATGACTACCTCCATCTATAGAAGACGAGGAATTTGAAATCAATCAAGATATTCTGAAGAGCCAATGGCATAAAGTAATTGTTACGGTCATAACTATACAGTACAGCCGATAAAGCATAGAAGTGTACGCTAAGTGACATTAGGATGTGTCGGCCATGGATTCAATTAGGAGCTGATAACCTTCTGGCACGGCCGTCTGTGTCTCAATGCACTCTGCAAGTGCAGGAACATCAGAACCAAGGCCATGAGACTTGGCTAGAAATAGAAGCAAATGAAAATCTGAAATTCTCTTCACAAATGGAAGACTCTTTGTTCTATCTAGATGGCTCTTCAGGGCCTTCGTTGTCACAAGGTTGTTTCGGTTCTCAATGGGGAAGGTTGAAGAGAGAGGTCCCTGCATTTCCATATTAGTTTTAAAGTAAGTTCTTATGATTTTATAAAGTGAATAACACAGAAACGTGAATCTGCAGAAAGTCAAAAAGTATGCATGCATAATCTAAAATACCCCTAACCTTTCTATTTCTTAGAAAAAGGCTGAAGAAAAAAAGAAGAGAAAGACTAGTCAATAGATGATGAGCATTGATCTGACAGAGATATTGCCCTGTCCAGGCTAAGAATAAAAACATTAGAACCAGTGAACCACTACTGTATCCTACGTTAGATTAGCAGCAAATGCAGATGGAGTCCTTTAAGGCACATCACATCTCCGATGGCAGAATTAACATGTGACGATGTTTTCTAAGCCTTGGACTCCAATGGGTATATTGCATACAGTAGTTAGTTACACATCTAACATGGGTATTTTCAGTTATTTAAGAAGTGATTGCCGAGCTTCCTTGCTTGCAGGGCGATACCATCATTGCCAGGTATAGTTCCATGAATCTATTTTTGCGTGACATTTCATACATTGGAGTAACAACAACGTACAATTCAAATAAAACAAGTAGTTTTACAACAGCAAGACAGTGCCTAGTATCAGTGAACTACAAAGACAATCTTTGTGATCTTTACTTGGGGAACTGGGGTGGGAACATCGCGAGAGAGGTTACAGTCAGGCAAGGCTTCTTAACAGCATGTAGTGCGAAAATTATCTATTTCAAAAACCTTGCAAGTCATGGTTGTCCCTCAGGCACTATATCAAGAAAAACCTCCATGCAATCCATAGGGTTATAATGATCCCAAGTAATCAGTGCGTATCGGACCATGTTAAAATTCCATACAACAAATGACTTGCTTGAAGGAGTTGAATTATTGGCTATTTGGCTCCAGAAATAGTGGCAATCAATCAATAGCATTATTAGCATATATAAAAAAGAAACTAGATGATTGATTGGTCATACTTGCAAAGATATGACCCCGTATTCCCAAAGCCATACTTCAAATTTTACAGCAACCTTTGACAGCCTGAATTTCTAACCTCGGCTGACTTGAATAGCCAAAACGTTTTTATGATACTTGATGAATCATTAACCGTTAGTTTATCACTTCTATCATGTAAAACCCCTAGCAAATCTTAAATTGTGAACAAAATGCAAAGCAGCCTAAATATACCAAGGTTTACTAGGAGCAAGAAAACAAGTCTCTTTCATACCAAAACCTCTCCTTGATGAACACACGTTTGCAACTTCACCCTTCCATGGGAACACTTAACAATAACCTCTATTGCTAGCACTTATAACCATATAAGTTACTTTCTTCTTCACATATATGCAAACTACATATACAACATTCCGAATAATGGACACAGCCACAATTAGTAATCATATAAGCAAATTTTACATGCATTGATAAAATCAGATAACTAGGAAAAAAATTACGCACCTGATGATCGAAAATCTTAACAACGACCAAGAAGAAATCATTATCAACCTCCTTAACATCTTTCCCACCGACGACAACATCTTTCTTCATCTTCGAAAGCTTTGGATCATCATCCTCTCCAAACTCTGTAACAAACCATCCATCCTTGCATAACTTAACACACATATCACTCATTTGGAATGCCTCAAAGTGCACATCTGCAGTACCATCTTCATTGGCTTCCAGCTTCACCACAACAGTTACCCACTCTTTCAGCTCACTCTCGGCATGAAGCTCTGCCGACTGTAGAATCTCTTTGTTCGAAAAATTGTAGTCCTTTTTGTCTTGCATTATCGTCTGGATAAAAATAAACCCCACTCTCTTCCTCCCTAACCCTGCCGCAATAGCGTCAGCCAGTTTCTCTTCTTCGGGATCCCTTAAAAGAACCAAATCATCTTCCAATCCTGTTGAGGCGGCTCGTAAATGAAATCAACTTCCACCTTACCTTCTTCCGAGACAGTGCCGTACATGAACCCGCCTCGTTTCCTAGCAAACGCTAGCGTTTCGTTGGCGTATTGCTGGAAAGCGTTTGCGGAATCGCAGTCGAAGGAAACAGAGTCACAGTGAGCCGATTCCTGCCGGGTGATCCTGGTTTGTTTAGCGATCAGGTCGTCAATTGTCATCTTACGGCCGAATGAGCCGGAGGGAATCACAGTGGGGCCGCCGGGAACGGTTCGCTCCCCGTGATTGTAGAGGAATACAATGGAACCGTGAGAAAGTTTCAGGGCGGAGAGCGGGGTGGAAGGGTCGGCCATGTCGGAGAACCGTAGGAGGTCAGCGGGGGTTTTAGCTAAAAGGAGATTTTGATCGGTGGAAAGTGTCTGGTTCTGGGTGGGGACTTGGAGCTGGGATTCAATTACAGTCTTTAACTGGGAGATCGCTAAGTGAGGGCCGTCGATTTGGATCCGTTCGAGGCCGTCGCGACTGCGGATTCTGACCATCATTTTCGAACAGAAACTGAGGCGATTAGAGAGTTAATTGGAGTTTGGCTGAGATGTGAGATAAGATGGAATATAGGGATTGAATCTTCTTCTAGATTATTATCGGAACAGAAGCTTGGGGTGAAAGAGTAAGGAGATTGGATTTGGATGAGAGTTTAAAGTTTTTTTTTTTTTTTTGCTGAATGCTTGCTGTATGAGAAGACGAATAGGAGTAGGACAGACGGTGTCAAAACGCATCGTTGTGGACCTGCAAAATGTCTAGCAATTTCTAAGTACGAAAGGAATGAGGTTATTTTATGTTTCTTTATTTATTTTTTAAAGTGTTTGTATTTTATTCGTATTTATTTATTTATTTATTAATATATTTATATTATTTTATTTATTATTCGATAACATGTTCAATTGTTCGTAAACATATTCATTTATATGTTCATAAATGTGTTCGTTTATATACTCACAAAACAATTCATTTAGTGTTCTCGAACAAATTCATTTAGCATACATGAATATATTTATTTATTGTTCGTTTGTATATTTAATTTTTAGTTTTTCTTTTTCATTTGCAAATTTAAAGAAAAATGATAAAATAATGTCACTAATGCTTAAACTCCTTAAAATTCATAACTTAAATTTCAACTTTTATCGTGTGTACAATTTAGCCTCTAATTTCACCAATATTTAAAATAAAATAAAAAATCGAGTAAATGAACTTGTTTATGAATATAAATGAAGAGTCGATAAACGACTTATAAATGAACTTATAAACAGGCTTGTTCGTTAACATAAACAAATAAAACATACCTTTATTAAATGAACCAAATTTTTTTTTACCATATTCGCTTATTTAGCTTAACAAATGAACATAAATATATGTTATATGAACAATTCATTGAAAGCTTAGATCCATTATTTAAGGCGATTATCGAGCAGATCGATCGTGAGTTAAGTGTTCGGCTAGTATTTGTTAAAATAACTTATTGTTCAATTTAATTTGTTGTTCTCTAAGTTCAATGAATTTTTATTCAAATCGTGCTCATAAAAAAATTGTTGCTAGGCTTGATAAGTTACTCGTTAAACTCATCAAAATTTTCATTTTATTTTTAATTATATGTAAAATCTAATAAATTAGTAATTTAGTTTTTTTTTTGTTTATTAGAAAATGAATAAATTATAAGTAATTATTAATTAGCAATTTAACGTATATCTTATTATCTAGTAAATTAATAATTGTTAATTAGACTCAATTTTGTAATTGAACAATTACACTTTGTTCGACTCGTTCTCGTTAAAAGAAAAATTTGTTGCTCAACTTGTTTAATTACTCATTAAACTCCCCAAATTTTGTACCCTATTTTTTTAACTGTGTAAAATCTAGTAAATTAATAAATTAGTATTTTTTGTTTATGAGAAAATTAATAAACTATTAGTAGTAATTAATCAGTAATTTAGCATATTTCTTGTTATCTAGTAAATTAGTAATTATTAAATAGGCTTTATCTTTTTAACTAAACAACTTTTTAAGGTGATTACTAGAAATTTATATAAAAAATAACGAACTGTTATCAAACTTATCGAGACGAGTTGAATATTATTCGACTCAACTCGTTAAAATATTTAATCTAATCAAATTGAATAGAACATTGATCGAATCAAATTCAAACAACACAAGAACAACTCAACTCATTAAGAATCCCTAGTTTATAGATGTTTGATTAAAACATAAAAACCGATGGTTGGATTTAATTAGTTAACACGGTTTTTTCGGTTTTCCATATTTTGGGATTATTTTTAAACTAAAAAATTAAATCCATTGAAAAACCAACTTACATTTATTAAATTTAATTATTTTTTCGGTTTTCCATATTTTGGGATTATTTTCAAATTAAAAAATTAAATCCATTGAAAAACCAACTTACATTTATTAAATTTAATTATTTAAATGTAGTTATGATATAAAATGCAAAATCCTATTCAAACTTAATATAATAGGTCCAATCCAACTTAAAACTCCCAGTTAAAATAAAAAATTGTAGATAAAAAAATGATCGGTGAATATCATAAATGACACGATAATAATGATTGTAATTTATGGTTTAGAATGTAATTAAAATGTTTTGAAAATTTAAACATAAATTTGCTATTTGACAGTGTTTACTTCAATATAAATTTGAGGTGTGTTGCATTCACATCCAACGGCTGTCGCACTTTGAACATGAAAAGTGCACCTATCACGTTTATTACATAAACCGTTGAAGTAAAAGTAACAAGGTCAATTTGTCTTGTTCGTAGCTGCCGCACTTTGGTATGACAATCCAATAGGTTTGGATGGAACTTTAGCATGCACATCCAACGGCTGCGAAAATAGTAAAGAGCTTTAGTTCATAGGACTACAACATACAACCAATCAATAACTAAAATAAACCAAGAAGATCAGTTAATAATTCATTCAAAAGGAGGTCTTAATAAATAAAGGGAAAGAGGTTCGTTCATAGTCACTACAAAAGCTAAGGCGTCAAATGGGTTGTTTAAGATATACATTAGATGCCAAATACAACATTACCAATTGCAAATGCATTAATGACCTACCCTTTTAACATATAATTGTTTATAATGCTCTATGTTTAATGTTCCTTAATAGCCAAACATGATGAGAATCTAAAACATATAGCGGAACTAAAATCAAAGGACCCCATAATTCTTGTAAATTCATTGCATGTTAGTAATAAAATACATTATAAAACATAGATGACACTGCAACAAACATATATATATATATGTGTGTGTGCTATAAATGAAAGTGCAAATGTGCAATGACCGGGAAACATATCAAGTAACTGCTCCAAATATGCTACATTGTCCTGATGTCTTTCGAGTTGTGTGCATGCAGAATTGTATTCTAAATCTATAATTCAACACATATTCAACTGAATTTAATATATTTTTTAATAAAAACTAAAAGTTGCGTGCATGTATATGTCTTCTAAAGCTATGATTTTATTTCTTTATTTTTAATCAAAACTTTTAGTACTTCTTATGAAAGATTCAACTGTAAATTTTTCAAAACATGTAAAAATCAAATTAGTTCACGGTATATCAGTCCCATAATCAACATGAACTTATTAAAAAGAATACGAGCTCACAAGACTCCAAAAGCCACAGGTCGGATAAATACAATTCCTAGTAAACTAGTACCAATAGTCTCTCGGATTGATCCTAGCGATTTCACTATGTCGATACTCACAACCAATTCCCTTATTTAAAGAAAAACCAAACAAGAAGATAAAAAAAATTTAGCCTACGACCCTCTTTCACTTATTTTATGATGGATTGAATATCTTTCATAAGGAGTACCAAAAGTTTTGATTAAGAAGAAAGTAAGAAAATTAAATGGTTTTGGTTCAAAACTAACACTGAATATCCAGATCCTTGACATGCAGTTTCAGAAATATAAAAATTTCAACAAAAAACATACAATGCGAGCTGAAAATGGGAAAGTGCGAAAGAGAAAAAGCTTACTTCCGGATAACCCAAAAGAGAAAATAAATATCTTCTTGCAAGTGAGGGGAGAAGCTAAGAAATAAACGTAACCGATGTTGCATTCCAGCAATTCTTCATCTATTTTTTCTTTGTAAATAAAAAGTTGAAAGACAGAGCACTGCTTGGGTTTACAATTTTACATGGTGGAAAACTGAAGAACAAAAACCAAACGAGAGTGCATGTGAGCGAAATAGACTGAGAGGAGAAGGCGTTGTTTGAGATTTCATTATATTTAATCATCTGTTGGAAAATCTTTAACCACAATGATTGAACGAATAAATTATTATATGTCATTTATACAAAATAATTACAATTTTGTTGGTAGCTTTCAACAATGATGCTTAATTCATCTTAGTAGTATTTGTCAACTCTGCATTTGTAATCCCATTTTTTCTCACAAGTATTTCATCGAACATCTATGTTTCACCTGAGATGACCCGTATCTAATATTACACCTTAAATCGTTGATGGTCCCGATAGTCCCTTAATCTCTTAGTCCCTTAGTCGGGTATTTTCTCAATGTACCCTTATTCAAGTCAACACCTCCACAAAATTCAAAGTTAGATTAGAATTTCCCATTCATCCCCGACTGAAAAGTTATGCTGGAAATAAGAAGAGAGAAGCGAAAAAGGAAATTCGAGATCGAAAAGGATTTTGGGGTTTAGAATAAAATTAATGATTATGTCGTAAGTTTTAAAAGTTAGGGACTTAAATGCAAGCGCCTGAAAAGTTCACTGATCATATTACAAATGTACTAACGGTCGTGTAACGGCGTCAAACGGTCGGTACGTCGGGATCATATTGCAAACGGACTAAATGTCGGATGATTGTATTGCAAGTTTTAAAGGTTGGAGGACATAAATGCAAGTTTTAGAAAAGTTCAGTGATCATTATTATACTTTACCCATTTATAATTACATCGTACTATTAAAAATAATTTAAAAAGAATGAAATACGATCGACGGTGACTGGTTGGAATGATGAATAGAGGGGATTTGAAATTCGAATGGGTAGGATCTTGGAGGGAGAAAGGGGTTTCGTGAAATGGACGTTGGTGAAGGTGGGACCCATATTGTGATCTCTTGTCTCCCTCCCTCTGCCGAATAATTTACCCTCTTTCGTAAAAACAAAAAAAAATCTTAAAATTAGGAAATTCACCAATCCCATCAACATTAAATATACAACATGTGTTAATCTAAATTAATTAAAATAAAAATTTTAAATATAAAAATCAAATAACTCCTCATTTATCCCATCTCATATTCATCCTATTAATCGACATAGAATAGGCGGTGAGAAGCAAAACAAAGTCCCGAAGACTAACACAGAACTCGTGTCTCCCTTAACTGCAATGACCAAACTGTCCTTAATACCATTTCCACCCTCCACTGAAATTAAAATTTAAACGATTAAATCAAAATTGCGGCAGCACGTTTTCCAACAGACGAGAGCTATCAGGTTGTGAGTTATTTTTGGGATGAGAAATTATTTTAAGAACTAATCTACAAAAAATGAATATAGTTTGGACCACGCTCTACAGTCTTCCAATTCCAATTTATTGGGAAATGCTTCTCCCCTTCTCTCCATTTAAAAAATATTATTATTCGTCCAATTCTTACGAATTAAAATGAAATTATAATTTTATTATTTCGATAGAAAAAATCATGAAAAGTCGCAACCCTTATAAAGTAATTATATTTCAATCCATGACTTAATAGAGTAATGCATTTGTTTTAAAATACGAAACGAGTTGGCATGGAACAAGGTTTATAAGATGACTAATATTGTAAAAAACCCAAAAGGGATTATGATTTAAATGATTCAGAATAGTAAAAAAATACAAATAATGACTTAATTAAATTTAGAAAATATTAACAGCATTGACACACGTATATTAGCATAAAATGTTGTTTATTTGGATACAGGGCATTCTCGTAATATTATTTCAAGGAGGAGGTATATAAGAATTTTCACAATAGATAAAGTTAAAAAAAATGATGAAATTTTGAAAGATAAGTGTCCGTTAGCTAGCAGGGAAAGAAAAAAAAAAACTTAAAAACTCGCAGACTTCGAAATAAAAATATTGTAAAGGCTCAACTCTCTTGAATGCAACACAACAAGAGAACTCCCATACAAAGTTTAAAGCCTCGTGACCTTCGAAGAGAGAGAAACCAGCGCATTTACTTAAAATGACCGGTCTAGTGATGGTGACCAAAGGGGGTGTCTGTGGTGGCGGTGGGAAGGGAGGAGTTAAAGGAGGAGTCAAGAGCTGCGAGGAAGAGCAGCAGAACCAGATATCTGTTCTGGCGCTGCTCTTGGCTGCTTTGAGGAAATCTATGGTGTCTTGTCGAATCGATAGACAAGATGATGTAATGTCATCCACCACCGTTCATCATATGGAAATCGGGTGGCCAACTAACGTAAGACACGTCACCCATGTCACCTTTGATCGTTTCAATGGCTTCTTGGGCCTTCCCGTTGAGTTCCAAGTTGAAATCCCCAGTCGGGTACCAAGTGCCAGGTTAATTCCCTTTACTTCTTCTTCTTCTTTTTTGCTTTTTTGGGGTCAAAGATTTCAGCTGCGTTTTGGTCCCTTTTTTTAAATTTTTAAAGTTGAAATGTTTGTGTTCTTGTGCAGTTTAGATCTAGAAGGGTAAAGGAGTAGATTTTTAGCAGTTTTTAGCTAAAAAATGGTAGTTTTTAGCTGCATTATAGCTGAACTGAAGGTCTTCTAAGAATTTAAACATGCCATTTTTAAGAGATTTTTGAAATAATTAAGCTTTGGAGAACCAAAACCCAGAAAACTTGGAAAGTTTTTGCCTTCTTCAAATTTTCTATTGCAAAGCGGTAAAAAAACTGACCTTTTGACTTTTGAGTTGTATCTGAAGAAAATAACATTATGTTATTCACTGTTCTATTTCCAAAATCTTATTGCCAAGATATTTGGATTTTTGTAAGAAATTTCCTTTGATAATACTTTTTTACTGTGTACGCTTTGGATTCTTTCCTTTTTGTTGAACTGATATTAATTTCCTGTTTATCGTATTCTTTGATTTGTACAATGTGATCCTTAATTGCATGTCTTTTCTCTTACAGTGCTAGTGTTTTTGGGGTCTCAGCGGAATCAATGCAATGTTCCTTCGATTCCAATGGGAACAGCGTCCCCACTATACTGTTGTTGATGCAGGAGCGGCTTTATTCGCAAGGAGGATTAAAGGTTTTTAATTTTGATAAGTACATATGATCTGCCGAGTCCGATTAACATCATTGTGTATCCAATTTATCTTATTCTCCGGTGATCGGTTTTGTAGGCGGAGGGGGTTTTCCGGATAAATCCAGAGAACGGCCAAGAGGAGCGTGTAAGAGATCAACTGAACAAGGGCATTGTGCCTGATAATATTGATGTCCACTGTCTTGCAGGCCTTATAAAAGCCTGGCTCCGAGAGCTTCCTTCGGGGGTTCTCGATGGACTTTCCCCCGAAGAGGTTCTCAAATGCAATACTGAAGAAAAGTCTGTTGACCTAGTGAAGCAGCTAAAGCCTACTGAAGCTGCACTGCTCGATTGGGCTGTTGGTCTTATGGCGGATGTCGTCGAGGAAGAGGAGTCGAACAAAATGAATGCAAGGAATATTGCTATGGTTTTTGCTCCGAATATGACTCGGGTATGGGGGCATTACTTTCCTCGAAATCGTAAGAATTTTATGATGTGTTAGATCAGGTAGAGATGCATTCAACTTTGGTTTTCTCTTGAGCAGATGTCTGATCCATTGACGGCTCTGATGCATGCTGTTCAAGTGATGAACTTGCTCAAGACATTGATCATCAAAACACTACGGAAACGTGAAGAGACGGCAACGGGAGGGTATTCACCGATGTCATCTCATTCGTGTGATGGCCCTACAGATGAGGAGTTTGATAGTCAGCATGAGACGGATACGAGTTGTGAACTGAGACGACCGACGTCCGATTATGATAACAACCTTTACAATAACTGTAGCGGAGATGAAGACGAAGTCGATGCTGATGTCGAGTCATTAGGTGAAATAGAGGAGTTTGTCTCAAGTCAACCGGATGAAAACAAGAATGTCACACAGTGTTTTTCGGAGGAAGCAGCTGATCAGTCCCAGATAGACCATGGAAGTCCAAGAAGTTACACAGATAACAGGAAAGGGAATCCTGCCTTGAGTACAAGTAACGGAGAGAAGAACATTGGCGATGCGGATATGATAGACAAACTCGATGATGAGTCTACGACATCCGACATGTCGTCTATGTCTACTGCCGGCTGACCGATGATTTGACCCTCGGATTATTTAGAACAACACTTGCACATTTTGGGTTGTCTCTCTTCCTTGTAAATTGACAAAGTTGGGGGTTTGGTTGAGCATTAACTTTTGTGTGGTTCAGCGACGGCTGAACCTGAAACCAAAACCGAACTTGGTGTTGTTTATTTAGGATCTCAAACTGTTGTAACATCGACCAGCCTTGGTAGTCATGCTTGCTTAGTATAATATTATTTTAAGGGGCTATATCTCACATATCTAATACATTTTCGTTTCATAATTAATATACGTTCTAAAATGTTAAAATCATTTTTAATATATATATATATATATATATATTAAAAATTAAAACCGCTATAGGATAATGGGAACAATAAAAGTTGAATTTGGATTTTGAAAATTTCAAACACCCATCCCAACATGGACATAAATCAATGAATGTGACTTTGGAAACTCTGAAAGCCTGAAAATAAAGGATCACGACAATGACACGAGGAGCTGGGGTATGGGCTTTTATTAATTTTAGTACCACTCACGGTAGTAGTTGCGGTATTTATAAAAATTAGCTAATCCATATTCCCATATGTAATGGGATAAGAGGAAGGTAGTATAGTAGGCTGCTCCCAACGTCAATTTGAGAATAATTTCCGTAGAAGACCTCCGAATTATGAAATACCCTCCGTTGGACTCAACACCACAACCACAAGGTTAAGAACCTTGTGCTCTACCAATTGAGTTGGATGGTCATTTAGTTGCAGTATCTATAAGGTTATTTATTTTCCTGAGAACCAGTAATATGAATTGAAAATTATCGGTGATTTGTTTAAATTAAGTTATTTTAGTAGTTATAAGATTTACTGTTGTATTTTTAAGATTTCAGATTTAAACACTTCATATATTATCTTATATTCAACTTTGATTTATAGTAAAAAAAGTTGACTGTGATTTACCACATCTTAAAGAGATCAAAACATTGATCTTATATTATAAAGGAAAAAATAGAATTTAAAATTAGTAGCAATTATATTTTATCGGGTATATTTTAAAAAAATAATGTTGATATTAGAATAAACTTAAAGAAGTGTAAATATTAAAGAAAAATAATAATGACCCGTGACACACATCACGACCTACAACATTAATTCACCATTCATGCGGAAAAAAACAAATCCTCAATGTATATTGATGAGAAAAATATTTGAATAGCCTTTTCAATAATAATAATAAGAGAAAATCGCCTCAGTGACCAAAAAAAAGTTATAATATACGATTTTAACCAACTTTTTTTGGATTTGCCAAAATGACCAACAAAATCGCAACGCGAAATAAAAATCGCAACGCGATCCCCAGAATCGCAAATCAGTTTCCAGAATCGCAACGCGATTCTTGAAAATCGCGATGCGATAGTACAAATTCGCATTGCGATTTTCCATAATCGCAACGCGAATATGAAAATCGCAACGCGAACACATAAATCGCAACGCGTATCCGTAAATCGCAACGTGTATCCGTAAATCGCAACGCGTATGGGTAAATCGCAATGCGTATCCGTATATCGCAACGCGTATCCGTAAATCGCAACGCGTATCCGTAAACCGCAACGTGTATCCGTAAATCGCAACGCGTATCCGTAAATCGCAATGCGTATCCGTAAATCGCAACGCGTATCCGTAAATCGCAACGATAATCCGTAAATCGCAACGCGTATCCGTAAATCGCAACGATAATCCGTAAATCGCAACGAGAATCTGTAAATCGCAACGATAATCCGTAAATCGCAACGAGAATCTGTAAATCACAACACTGAAATTTTGGGTATATAACACTGAAATCATAAACTAAATCCCTAAATCGCAACTCATTCCATCTCCATCTATCACTCTCTCCGGCGACATCCGTTCCTATATCCAACGACATCCTTCCCCATCCGGCAACAGGTCTTAGTTTCGCATCTCGTTTGTTTAGTTACAACCATGAAATCATCTAATGTTGATCATGTTTGGATAGATTTGTGTTTTGGAGGGTCATGGGATAATGTTAATGGTGTTTTACAATATATGCCTTTACCCATAAATCTTCAACTAAAATTGTCTTTACAAAAGTTAACTTATGAAACTCTAATGCTACGTGTTTCAAATAAATTGAATTTAGAGCCCCTAAGTGGATTTAGGCTATCTTATCAGAGAAATGGTAAAGTTTATTTGTTAACCGACAATGAAGATGTTGAACGATTCATTGCTTACATTAGTGTTTCACAAGATGATGTTACATTGTATGTTGTTGAACCTAGAAGTAGTATTGTTGGGTCAGTAGCGGGTAGTAATCAACTAAGTTTTTCTCAAAACCCACAACCTTTCTCTAATCCAAATCCCAATCAACTTTCAGCACCAAATTCCGGTTTTCGTATTGACCAGTTAGACGATGATGAGCCAACAGAAAAAATTGTGATTACTAGTCAGTATTCGAAATTTGGTCTTGGTCAATATCCGGACTTTGATATTGGTCAATACACGGATTTTGATGATGTTTCAGAAGAAGAAACAGACCATGCGTGTAATGATATTGATATTGGTCAATACCCGAATTTTGATGATGAAACAGCCGTTGCCGAAGAATGTAATGTTGATGATAATGAGGAGGAAGTTACGACTGTGAATGAACATGTTGAACATCCATTCTGTAATTCATATAATCCTGAAGAAGAAAAAGAAGAAGAAAAAGTCCCCGAAGAAAAGAAAATGCCACGGGCGTATAACTGGAATATGCCAGAATTACTTCAGATACCGGAAGAAGAGTTGATAAAGAAAGCAGTTGATTGTTACACAAAAGTTATTCGTATCAAGAAAGATGATTGTTTTGATACAAAGGAAGACTTGAAGATAGCTTTATATACGAAATGTGTGGAAGATGGCTATCAACTAAAAGTTAACAAATCAAGCAAAGATCGTTTCGAAACAAGGTGTATGATTGACAAAAACTGTACGTGGCGTATGATTGCAAAGAGAATAAAAGATTGCAAAATGTTTCAAGTTAGGACTTTTATTGATAAACATACATGTTCAAGAACCCAAGTTTTTCCTCACCATAGACAGGCAAACAAAAAGGTGTTGGGTGGTTTTCTGGCTGAGTTAATGTTTTTGAATGGCAGGGTATATCGGGGACATGAAATTATGACTGACATGAATGCTCGGTTCAAGATTAGTATATCATATTCTCAAGCTTGGAGAGCCAAATGTTATGCCTTGGAATTGTTGAGGGGGTCGCCAGAAGCATCGTTTGCCCAACTGCCGGCTTATTGTCACAATTTAAAGCTGAAAAATCCTGGGTCGGTAACTCATATCAAAACAGATAGAGATGGACGCTTTGAGTTGCTGTTTATCGCCATTGGTGCTACGGTTAGTAAATCAATATAATTTTGTTGACTCATTTTTGTTAGTTACATGCATTTCACATTTAAATGATTATATTTCTTGTGTATATTATTTTGTAGATTCGTTCGTTTATTACTTGCATGCGCCCAGTTATTATAGTTGACGGAGCACATTTGAAAGGTCGATACCTTGGAGTAAACTTATTAGCAGTAGCCATGGATGCTAACAATGGGATATTGCCAATAGCTTACGGGGTTGGCAAATCTGAAACCTCTGATTCATGGACATGGTTTATGGGGCATCTTAGGGATTGCATAGGTCCTATTAGCAATCTGACAATCATATCCGATAGGGCAAACTCAATTGACAACGCTGTTAGAAGGTGTTTCCCAGATGCTTTTCATGGACTTTGTGGTGTTCATTTGTATAGAAATCTAAAATCAAGGTCTGCTGGTATAAAAAAGCACAAATGGACATACTGGAAGGCTGTAAAAGCTTATCGGGAAGTGGATTTCAATAAGCATATAAATTGTTTAAGACGTGTTTTGCCTCAGTGTGCTCAAACACTAGAAGATGTCGGGTTTGAAAGATGGTCAAGAGTACATCAACTTGGAGCAAGATATGGTTTCATGACGTCTAATAGTGCAGAATCAATCAACGCTCTAAGTCGTCATTCCCGGAAATTACCCATTACTATGTTAATGGAGTTTTTTCGAGCCTCTATTCAACAGTGGTACTACAAGAAAAGAAACCATGCAGGTATTATTTCTTTGAATTCGTAACTTATCATATTTATATATTTTACTAAGTATTGTTTATTTAAATTTACAGGAACATTGGAACATCGTGTTACACCATGGACTGAAAAAAGATAACGAAACGTGTTGTGAAGTCAACGTCATGGAGAGTTGAACCATGTTCAAACACTTTGTTTCAAGTACTGGATAATAACTTAAATGGGCTAGTCGATCTAAATGCAAAGACGTGTAGTTGTATGAAATGGCAAACATCTGGTTATCCGTGTGGCCATGTTATAAAAGTTGCTCTTCATTTAAACCAAGATGATTCAAGCGCATACGCTATGGATTGCTACACTACAGAAGTTTATCGACAGACTTATGCCGAGATTGTCTACCCTATTCCACATCCTTCTGAGTGGGACATACCAGATGACTTACAAACAGTTTTGCCACCAGCCATGGACAGAAGGCTACCTGGCCGACCAAAAAGTCACGATCGTATACCGTCTAAGGGTGAAGAGAAGAAGAGATCGACATGTAGTCGGTGCAAGGAAAGTGGTCATACAAGGTTGACATGTGGATCACCAGTGCCATCAAAATCATCTTTTCCTCTACCAAAATATGGATCCTCATCAAAATCCAAAGCTCATATGGTGTGAACTTTGTATTATGTAAACGTTGTTATTCAGTTGTATTATGTAAACGTTTTAACATTTAACATTTTATGTGTATTATGTAAACGTTGCCATCAAAAGCTCATATGCAAACGTTGTATTATGTGGATTTTATGTGTGAACTTTTAACATTTTCAGTTGAATTAATGACTCAGGCCAACCATTTTGACTTAACCAACTCTTGTTATTCAGTTGTTATCACTATTAGGCATGCATTTGACTATCGCAACACGGAAAATACAATCGCAACGCGAAATGAAAATCCCAACATGAAAATCGCAATGCGGAAATGAAAATCGCAACGAGAGAATCGCAATGC